GCGAGAGGGTGAGAAGAGAAGGTGGACTTAGAAGAGGAGGAAGAAGAACTCTCTCTCTCTCTGTGTCCAGTACTAACCTGTGAAGTTGGCGCCTTAATGCAGGTACCACGAAGATGGAGCTGGAGCGATGGCGCCACAGGTAAGTACCACTTGGCTCCGCCAATCTCTCTCCCACTCTACGATCTACCACCTACCAGCGCCCAGCGCTGAAGACTACAGCTACAGCTATGGCGCCCAGCGCCGAAGACTACAGCTAGCGCTAACTACAGCCTAGCGCTGAAGACTATTGCAGCGCTCCTCCTGAGTGCTGCGGCCGAAATCCTGAAGACTACCTCGTGCCTACTGAACTACCTACCCGTGAAGTGCATGGGAACTTCCTATGTACTACCGGGTGTGCCTCCTGAGCCTGCCGAAGGGAGGCAGGGGCTGCAGCTGCAGCTCCTGCTCAAACTCGTGAGGAACAGGCTATTTCTGGCCTGTTCCGCATCCCTGTTTACGTGCCTGAGTCTTAGGGGCAGGTCGAAACAATGAGGGCCTGAAAATGGCCCTCCGTTTCAGGCTGAAAACTTTGGGTCTGAAAAAACCCAGAAATAGGCTGAAACGGGGTAGGGCCTGCAGGGCGCTCGTTTTTCAGCTTCCAGGCTGAAACGAACGGGGCCTGTAAGCCCTAAGTTTTAGGCTTTTCGGCTGAATGTCCGGGACGGGCCCTGCAGGGCCCGAGTGGCTACGCAGTATGCCACAAGAACCGAGCTTGCCTGCGAGGGCGAAGCTGTCTGTCTAAGGGAGGGACCACAGTCCGGGCGGGAGGGGCTGGTCGTGAAGCTTCCTGAGCTAACCTCCGCTTTTCATAATGCGCGTAGATCAGCGGTGCGGATGCTTTCAAATCTGCGCCTGAAATCCACCGAGTGTCGTCGCGATCGCATGCTTTGAATGTGACTTTGTACTGCCGCGGCTTGCTGCCGTACTTACGATCGGAGATGACGCGGTCAACTTCCTGATGGCCATCCATAGAAGGAGGGTCCTGCAATCGTCGGTCTGGAAAGTCGTCGCTCTTGGCTGGCGTGTATGTTGCCAGCTTCGAGGCGTGGAAGACCGGATGGACCGTCAGATGCTCTGGAATGTTGATCACAAATGAAGGGCCATCGGGCTCATCGCCCGCGGCTGCTGTCACCGACCAAGGTCCAAACCACTTGGGAAGCAGTTTGCGTGAAACAACCTGTTCGAGTGCAAACTCTTTCGCGGAGACCCAAACCAGATCACCGGCGCGGATGGGACATGGTACGCGACGCCTGTTGGCTTGCTGTTGCATGCGGACTTGAGGCTTTTGCATATTTGCGCGGGCTTGAGTCAGCAATTCCCTGTACTTCCGGACGGAAGCGGGAGAGCAGGCAGCGTCAATGTCGGCTGGTCGAGGGAGGAGAAGGTCGGCGAAGATCCGGCCTTTCCGTCCACCATGGTGCAACTCGAATGGAGTCACGCCGATCGCCGGATGCACCGAAGTGTTGTAGGCGAACTCGATGTCGGGGAGGCGGTCAACCCAATCTTTCTGGTCCGGACGGATGAGCGTACGAAGCATCATTTGAGCGGTTTCATGTGCCCGCTCCGTCTGCCCGTCTGTCTGAGGATGTCGAGCCGAACTTGGTTTCATTGTTGTGCCAGACTCCTGCATGAGAACAGTCCAAAACGCTAACATGAAACGAGTGTCGCGGTCGCTGACAATGTCTTCTGGTACACCGTGGCCACAAATCCAACCAGTGTGCGGGAGGCGTGCCAGCTCGGGAGCCGTGGAGTAGTACTTGCAAGGGAGAAAACGCGCGTACTTACTCAATCGGTCCACAACCGTGAGGATGCCGTCGTGCCCGAGCC